AGCCCCACCCGTTATAAATAAGGAAGACTGAGGCCCTGGGCCGTGACCTGTCTCAGCCACTGCAAGGCAGGGGTGAAGGAGGGTTGGTGACAGAGAGGAGAGAACAAGCAATACTAACAATACAGAGGGAGGAAGCAGGTTGGAGGGGTGTCTCTTCAGCCCCAAGATCCAGGAACTGGGGAGCAGCTCAGGCCAACACCTGCCTCTTGGGGGTGACTTCGGGCTGGGGTCCCAGCTGGGTGTGAGCCTGTGCGAGGGAGCCTGGGACAGACAAGGGGAGTGGCTGGGTAGGCAATGCCCCGGTGACGGTGGCCGAGGCCCCAGTGGCAGTGGCTGGGCTGGGCGTGGAGTCGGACCAGTCCGAGAGGGAGGGTGGCGATGGGCTGGCCCAATGCTCGGGGGACTCGGGGGATGGGGTCAGGTAAGGGTGCTCGCTGGGGACCCGCAGGAAGCGAGTTTTGGGGGGACTGCCATGGGCCCCAGCTGCCGGGTACTCCTCGCCGTGTCCTGGAGCTGCCAGGTAGGGTGGGGGCCGCTCCTGGGGGGAGATGGGGGTCCCAGGGTTGAGCAGCTGGGGTCCCGGTGCCAATGGCAGCAGGAACGAGGGGCCCGGTGGGGCAGGTGGAGGCAGCCGGGCCCAGTCAAGGGGGACAGCCACAGGGTTCAGGAGGCCCAGGCTGAGCAAGCAGCCTCCAGGGGGCTGTCGCACTAGACCGGCCCGGCCTGGGCCACCGAGCTGCGCCAGAGACACAGCCGTGGCGGTGGCAGCCGCGTAGGACCCCTCAAGGGGGAAGCCACCAGGGGAAGCAGGTGGCCCACCAAAGGGCCGCGGAGAGTCCAGCGAGTCCACAGGTGACAGCGTGACTGAGCTCTCGGCCAGGGGGCCAGGGCAGGACAGGGTCAGCTTCTTGCCCCGTCCCCGGGCCCCCTGCGGCCCCAGCCCAGCCTTTCCCGGGGGCCTCCTGCTCTTCTTGGTCCCCGACTGGGCTGCCTTGAGGCCTGGGAGGAAGGCCCCGGGTGGACAGAGAAGGGGCCCCAGGCCATGGGGGCCGGCAGGGCTGCGGGGCCCACTCGGCTGGTCCAGCAACCGCACGATGTCCTGGTGCAGCCGCTCCTGGGCCACGTCCCGTGGCAGCCTGTCCAGGTGGTCCGTGATCTCGCGGTTGGCAAAGTGGTCCAGCAGCAGCTTGGCAGTCTCGTAGCTGCCCTCGCGGGCGGCCAGGAAGAGCGGGGTCTCCTCCTGGGGCGGGGGCAGGTGTGGAGGGAGAATCCAGAGATGTCAGGGTCACCTTGGCCAACATCAGCAAGGTCTCCAGCCTCTGGGGGAGCTAAGAGTTTGTTCTCTGGAGCCTGACAGACCTGGGTTCTAATCCCAGCTCTGCTGGTGGAAACCTGGACAAGTTCTTTCCTTAAAATCACATTCATCCAGCACCTAATAAGTGCCAGGCCCCAGAGTCAGGACTAGAGGGACTCAAGTGTGGAATTCGCCTTAGACACAAAATTTAAGGGGACACCAAAAACCTGTCATCAAAATATATGATATTTTAATGCAACGTTGTTTAAAAAGTAAGATTAATGCCAAAAAGTCCATAATGAATAAAATATTGAAATGTAAAATAAAAACAGAATTTGTCTCCACACCCCTCTGAGCCTCGCTCTTCACATTTGTAAAGTGAGATTATGTAAGACTCCCCCTTTATGAGGGTTTTTAAACAATGATTTTAACAGTTACCTTTTATCAAGAATTTGATAAGCAATTTACAAAAGCATTCGCTCACTGAATCCTCAGGAGACAGAATGAGGTGCGTGCTACTGCTCCTCCATCTCACAGATGAGGACAGTGAGGCTCAGAGAAGTTAAGCAACTTGCCCAAGGTCACACAGCACCTGCCACAAACTTCCACCTCGGATCCACCACCGAAGTCTCTTGGCTCCCAAATCCCACCCTTGAAAACTGGCTACAGGCAGGACCAATGTCACCACCTGAGTTACCCTGCCCCTGCTCTCTGCCACCTGTGGGGAGCTGTGATGGTGCTGACCCCAGGTGGGCCAAGAGCTGGGGCTTACCTTGCTATCCTGCATGTCCTTGTTGGCTCCATTTTTGAGCAGGGCCAAGGTGGCCTCCACATTGTTCACGGCGGCCGCCCAGTGTAGGGCTGACTTCCCTGCGAGGAGAGGGAAAGGTCAGGGTTAGGACTCATGTCCTGGACCCCACAGAAGGGGGCAGGAAGTATCCAGAATATGACTGCGGGGGATGCCTGCCATGAGTATCTGAACACCTGTGTTTGGGTCCATCTGTGCAAATCTGTAGAATGACTCTGTACAAGTTGGGCACTTTGTGTGTGTGTGTGTGTGTGTATGTGTGTGTGTGCACATGTGCACACACAACTCTCCATGATAGGGGAGGAGAAAATGTTTGGACGTCATTGATTCTAGAGCTGTATTGTCTGATGCAGGAGCCACCAGTCACATGTGGTTCTTTAGATTTAAATTAATAAAAATTAAATAAAACTGGTGCCGGGACCATGTAATGGGGAAAGAATGGTCTTCTCAACTAATTGTGCTGGACCAATTGGATATTCACAG